TAATTACTACTCAACATTCAGCTCCCAAACAAAACCCAGCTCTCCACTGAAAGGTTGTAATATTTTTCTCATACTTTTTTTTTACTAGTTTCAGTATGGGGTGTATCAAAAAATTGGCAACATTGGGCCATGGAGGCATGGAGGATGAGAGCAATTAGGGCTTCTTTGACACGGCTTATGCCCGCTTCGGCTTCATCTATTTTGCGTAAATCGATGCACTGTAGCGTGAAGCCGTTTTGTAAGCCGGGGTTAAAATGAACTAGAAGTCGGGAAAAGCCAGTTTTTCTGACTTCACCGGTGAAGCCGTTTTGGATGAGCCGTGCCAAAGGGGGCTTTAATAAGCCTTCGAGGCTTCAAGGCGGGGAGGAAAAACCTTATATATCATGACTAATAAAGCAGTCAATTGAACTTCCAATTCAACAATAACTTGAGTTTGTTTGAGTATAATCTTCCTATCAAAATCATGACCAAGTTGACTTGCACCTTGCGTTTGCTTTACATATCCATTGTATGATCAACCCCTTTAGCTACAAACCTAAATACATCTCTCTTACTATGTGGACAGATTGTTGTCTAATCACAAATCGCTAGAATCAATGTGGACCAAAAAAACGTAACTCCGATTGACCTCAACTTTTAGCACAACAAAAGTAGATAAATTTCTTGAAGTAATCCAACTAGTATCACATCATTGGGATGTCTAGGTTAGGATGTATTAATTCTGCAGGATTTTACTATCTCAAATGGTGACGAAATTATTTGAGCATGTTTTTTAGATTATAAGCAAAAACTATGAACTATAAATGAGGTCAAGGGATAAGCTTCTGTTGTACTACGATTTATAGTTGACTAACGCATGTATGTCTACAGAATTAGAACAGTGCAGCAACAATTGAACTAATGGATATAATGGATGAACTTGTCACTGATGGAGTGCTCTTGAAAAGATCAGTGAAAGAAAGATCAATGAAACAGAGACTAAACTGGACGGCTATGAAATAAATCGATGGCACATCATGCATGCATGCACATACTCCACATTTGCAGAGGAGCTATTGCCGGCTGCAGGTGAAACATTCAGAACCTAAGGCAATTACTTGCTGCTAGCTTCTCCCTGGGCTGTTGAAAAGGGATTTGACAGCGAGAAAAACAAGCAGCAACTGCATGATTTGAGAGTCAACAGCCGTCGTCGAACTAGTCGAGCTTTATCATACCACATTGGGCCTAACCAAAAGCACCAGTGACAGAGTTTCAAAAAAGAAAGGCACCAGTGACAGAGCTAATTTTTTTAAAAGTCAAGAGTGATTCCCATCATACAAAAATATTTATCTAGAAAATACAATATTTCTTTTTTTATACAAAGAAAATTCTTATTTGCACTCACTCAAATAATGGTGAGCGCTTCATTTAATTAGATGAGATGGTTATATAATGATCATCTATTACCTCCTAACAGATAATAGGTGACATATTTATTTATTTATTTTGTAAAAAAGAATAAATAAGAAAGATTTAGATATAAAAATATTCTTTCTAGATCAAATTGATGCATGCATAATCTATTAGATGTGGTAAATCTTTTTATTTTGCAACTTTGGATGTAATATATTTTAACCAGCGTGTTGGCTTTTTTTTGTGCATGTATCACATCTGTTTTAGCTAATGCCGTGTTAAGCTCACGATTTTTTTATGCATGTAACGTGTACCTCCTGTGCTACCTAACGTGTTAAGTTTAGGCAGCATTTTTTTCCATTCATGTGCATGTTTTTTTTCTACCTTTGTTAGTTGCCAATCTTTTTCGTCCATTTAACATGTGTTTTCAATTGCATATATAACATTTTTCGTCTCTATAATTGTGTTAGCCAACGTTATAGTAGACTATAGTTTGTTAACATGTCATGTTCATGCAATCCACAGGCCGCAATTTATATTGTTAGCCAATTGTCGTGGAACATGTATAACACAAAGAGAAAGAACAGAAAAGGAGGGAGGAAGAAGAAAGGACTAGGGACAAAAACGATATTTCAATAAGTTCACTCTCCTCTCCAGCCGGAGCTGACATTAATATTTTCACAAATCAGGGTGTCTACTAGACAATTAGACCTCTTTTCGTTGTCGACTAGTAACACAACGTCACTTAGCATTTTTTTCTCAAAATAATATGAGATATGTCCAACACTCAGTCACCCACCAGCTTAAAAAAAACAAATCCATAAAGCTGGCTGGTCATTTCAAATTCACGGGTCAATTTTCTCTTAGAAAGCCTAAATAAAAAACAAATCCATCTAGTCACCCACCAGCTTAAAAAAAGCCACTTAGAACGTCTACAAGAGTATCATATTTTTTCTCCCAAAAACATGTTATTTTCCAACTCATAAAAAGGTACGGGGTCCAAAAAAAAGTCTATTTCCAAAAGTTTCCAATAAATCATTTCAAAAAAAATCAAATTTTGGTTCCACGAGGACTTTTTTTTACGGCAGCATTTTCTTTTCGCGTGACATGGTAGAGTCGCGCCAAAACCCTCCGACGCCGCCGCCTCCCTGCTCGACACCGCGGCCTCCCAGCCGACCGCCGCACCTCCCGCCGTCGGAGCTCACGCCTGTCTGCCACCAGTAGCGGCGCGCGCCCCACCCACACTTCCGCGTAGATGAGGTCCACGACGCAGGACTGGTGTAGGGTCGAGATTGTAGACTAGAGGGGGGTGAATAGTCCTTTCTAAAATTAATCGCGCCGGCTAACCGAAGCAAATGAAGAAATAAAACTATCGGTCTAGCACAGACTACACCCATCTATCTAAGTTCACAAGCACCTTATAAAGATCCTACAGAGGCAACAAAGGTGCCAGGCTAGCTAGTGCTCACCTATCCAATTCTAGCTTGAAAGGTCACACAAACCTATGCAACTAGTACTTCAAGCAAACCGGAGAGCACTTACACAAACTAATAAGCAAAAGCACAAAGCCACCTAAGCTCACTAGCAATGCTCAATAACAAGGCTACACAAGCCAAATTAGAGAGCGCAAATTACTTAGCTACACAAACTAATCAATGTGACTAACAATGTTACTAAAACCAAATTAGCCACGCAAGTGAGCTACTTCTATGCTACACAAGCAAGAAGGTAACTAGCAAGCTACACAAGCAAACTAATTACACGAGCAACTACATAAGCGCAATGTATGAAATGTAAATACAAGCTTGTGTTGCGCGGAATGCAAACCACCGAGAAGATGATGAAGACAATGTTGACATGGTGATTTTCTCCTGAGATTCACTTGGTTGCTACCAAGCTACGTCCCCGTTGTGTCGACCGCTCACTTGATGGTTCGGCGGCTAATTGGCATCACCCACCAAGCCCGCACGTCAGGCACCGCAAGAACCTACCCAAAAAATCAGGGTAGCTCAATGACACGCTCAACTAAAGCTGCTCTTCACGATCCGCGCGGGGTGAGAACAATCCTCCTCCGGAGCACCGCACAATCTCTCGCGTGCTTTAATGGAGTCGTAAGCCACCAAGTCATCTAGGAGGTGGCAACCTCCAAGAGTAGCAAGCATCACCGGCTTGCAACACGATCACCTAGTGCCACTTGATGCAACCTCACGATACAATCGCACTAGAATCGCTCACTCACTCGATCGAATGATCACTATCAAGCTCAAGTGAGTTGGAGGGCTCCCAAGCACACCTACACAAGCCACCAAGGCCGGCCAACACTTCTATTTATAACCCCACGTGCTAAACTAGCTGTTACCCCTTCACTGGGCTTTCTGCGCATCGACCGGACGCGCAGGTCCACTTGACCGGACTCGCCGATCCCTGCGTCCGGTCGCTGCCGCGCTTCCACGTGTCACTAACCGTTTGAACTAACCGTTGCCACCAATGGCTATCTCTTGCGCACGCCAGCAGTCACTGATTGGACGCGCTGCTTGGCTTGACCTGACGCTGCCCCAAGCCGCGTCCGATCGCTTCCAGTAACGGTCCAGAGAGGCTTTTACACGATCGAACGCGTTCGCTTCTGCACGACCGGACGCAGACCAGCGTACGAGCAGCTCTGCGCCGCGCCTACTCCAGCGCCACCTACGTCACATGTGACTGGACGCAGGCCCTGCACGTCCGGTCACTTTTACTGTGCAGCGTCCGGTCACTTGATCGAAACCGCACCCAACTGCTGCCACTGACCGGACGCGCCGGTCCTGCCGAGGCTAGCGTCCGGTCACTCACAGTGACACCTTCTCGCCTTCGTTTCTTCACCGAGTTGATTCTCATCAACTCCAACTTCTTCTCCTTTGCAAATGCGCCAACACCACCAAGTGTACACCACCATGTGTATGTGTGTTAGCTTTTCACAAACAGTTTTAAGGAGTTAGCCACTCAACTTGCCACGCCACTCGATCCTAATAACGATGCAAAGTTAGATCACTCGAGTGGCACTAGATGACCGATATGCAAATAAATTTATCCCTCTTGATAGTACAACCATCTATTCTAAACCCGGTCATGCACTTCTCTACACAACCTTTGACATGTGAAATGAAATACCCTAGCTTATACATTTGCCTTGCGCATTCCATTTCAACTCCTCCGATGTTGATGCAACACATGCACCAACATGATCAACAATGATATGATCCACTCCATATCATCACGTGATTATACTGGTTCATCGATCTTGACTTCACTTGCTCTTCATCGTTGCTTCGGTCCATCGACGCCAAGTCATCACTTAACTTGCCCTTCACACTTGCAATCGGTCCGTCGAGCCAAGTCATGTCTTGATCTTCTCCACCTTGATCACATGACTTAATGTCATGTCTCATGTGCAATGAGCTCCTTCATCATATGTGTGAGCTTTGCACCAAGTTTAAGCCATCTAACCTCCATGACATGTATTGCTCACACACATATACATGTGGACTAATCACCTATGTATCTCACTCAAACACATATTAGTCCATCTAAGGTTGTCACTCAATTACCAAAACCAAACAAAGACATTTCAACTAGGACAGGAACGCTGCGGTCGAGACGCCCATGACGCTCACCACCCGCTGCGCCCACGGCATGTGTGGGTCGTACACCATAACGGTGGTGGGCCTCCACGCGCGGGCCTTGGCGTCAATGGCCCATGTCAGCGTCTCCGACCCCACGGCCTCCAGCCCACGGCAGTACTCCACGGGGTCCGAGCATGACGCCATGCCGCCCTCGTTGAAGCCATCGGAGATGGCCGCAACAGGGAAGGGTGCGACGACGGTGGGCGAGGTGGACAGCATGTACCGGGTGGTCACCAGCGAGGGAAGCAGGCCATGGTAGGCGAGGCGGTGGCCAAACTGGATCATCAGGTTCATGTGACCCCGCACCGGTACGGGCACCAGCAGGACGTGGATGCCGCCATGCTCTCGGCCAAAACTGGAGCCTGTCGTGGTCATTGCTGCGCCAGTAGAAGGCAAAGAACTCCTCTTGATGGTGGCAACAGAAGGCACGAAGGGAAGAAGAAACCGCGCCAAGAGGGAGACCGCACGGGAGGAGACGGATACACGCGATGACCACAGCACGTAAGATCATCTCCGTGAGTATCCTAAATCTCTTCCTAATTCCTGTTTTTTGGTAAGATTGAAAAAAAAACTCTCTCCAACGACTCCCATCCATCCTCCAATCTTTTGGCACTCGTGAAAACTCACCTGTTGCGTGTAAAGTTCCACCGTTCGGAGTCGCGCGTATCCCACTCCGTCGTGCGGTTTTCTCCTTCCCGCGATAGAACTTTCCCGCGGTCTCCGCCTTCTGCGTTCTCAGCGAAGCTAGCTCTCTTGCGGGGCTCGTCGAGAGACGTAGGTGTAGGCGACTGTCGAGATGGTAATGCCGACGGCGACCTCTGTTGCGCCTGTGCATCCTCCCCCGACCGGCGCTACGACGGGTGTGAGATGTGGGGCGACGCGCGCATGGCGAGCGGTGCCAAACAAGTCGGTGGTCTACTTCATCCTGCCGCCGCCGCAGCTGGCCACCTGGAGCATCCGGTCGTAGTCCTGCAAGATCGTGGGCGTCCGCGAGGTGATCGTCCAGTCCCTGGACACGTTCAGCCTCCACGAGGCGCACTCCGGCGGGCCGTGGTGTTCGCACTCGGTGGCCTAGCCTGACGTCCAACTACTGGCACACCTTCAGCGACGTGCTTTTGCCGCTCTTCACGACGGCACGGGTCTTAGACTGACTCCAACGAAGGGACCCAAATACGATACCCATTTCGCTGTTATAGGTTATCTACAGTAAAAAAAACGTCACGACCTACATATCTCCGCTCCAACAGACAGGCAGACCCAATCCACGCTGCGCGCCGAGAGCGCCGCCCGAGCACACCCGTCCAACCTCAAGGCCGCGCTGCCAGCCCCGACGCCGGCAGATCTCGCGCCCAGGAGCGCGGCGCGGGGACGGGGCCTCCTCCCCCGGCCGAGCTCGCGCCCGCGCCCAGATCCGGCCCCCCTCCCTCTCCTTCTTCTTCCCCAACGGAGCTCGCGCCCGACGGAGCTCGCCCCCGGCGGAGCTCGCGCCTGGCGGAGCTCGCCCCCGCGGCCCGGCCGAGCTCCCGCCCGCGCGCGGCGGAGCTCGCGCCCACGGCTCGGTGGAGCTCGCGTCCGCACCCGGATCCGGCCCCCCTCCCTCTCCTTCTTCTTCCCCAACGGAGCTCACGCCCGACGGAGCTCGCCCTCGGCGGAGCTCGCGTTCGGCGTTCCGGCGAGCGCCAGCGAGCACCTCCGCCCCCACGCGACGCTGCTCATCACCGGCGGCAGGGGAGCGGGTCCAGATCCGACAAGGCAGCCAAGGCGGGCGGCTCCTCTCCGCACCGGCGGCGCGCATCCTCCTGCGGCGGCGGACATGGCGACGGTGCTGCAGCGCGCCTCTCTCATCTCGCGCCTACGAGCGGGCAAGGCACCCGGCCATGGTGGCCCTCCCCAGATCCGGGTCGGCGGTGGGGGCGCGGCACGGATCTGGGACGGCGATGCGGAGCCCCCCTCGATGCTGGCCGCGGCGAGGCGGAGCTGCCGTGAGGCCGCCGTGTTGAGCTCCGGTCGTCCCCTTCCTCGTGGTGCTCGTGGTGGTGAGCCTGGCGGAGACGCAAAGACGCGGAGGGAGGACGCTTTTTTGCCTTCCGTGTCGCCTCCAACGCAAAATGCGTGCTGTGTTTGCCTACTCCGTTGGAGCTTGTTTTTCGCGGTCAAAACACTGTGCACGACGCAATTTTGGGATGGGTCACGTGATTGGAGATAGTCTTAGGGGCGACGTCGAGCTCCTCACCACCGGACGGGACCGGATGCTCGGCCAGGAGGCCAGCTGTGGCTGCAGCGGCGGCGGGATGAGGTAGCAAACATTGTAGGTCACGGTAATCATCCATTTCTCTTTGCAGTCGCCTGAAAAGAAAAACGATGCCGAAAAAAAACACTTGTGGAACCAAATTTAATGTTTTGGAAGTGATTTATAGGATACTCTTGGAGATGGATTTTTTTCTTCCTATACCTTTTTCGGAGTTAGAAAACATCGTATTTCTAGTACCACCTAAAACGTATGGAGCACTTTCGTCAAACCAAATTTTGTGCGCGCGCCCGAAGCTAGGCCCACACATAGGTACGGACTCTGGCTGTCTCCAGTAAAAAAAACTAAAAAAAAAGCACCGGATCGTGTACGTACGCTGGGAAAAAAAACCGACGCTAGCTGTCTCCGGTAAAAAGACGATAAATAAACAAAATCACCGGATCGGGTACATACTTTGGAAAAAACAATAAATAAACAAAATCACCTGATCGGGTACACACTTTGGAAAAAAACGATCTACAAACGGACTGTTTCCGGTAAACAAAACAAACAAAATGACAAGATCCTATTCTGGGAAGTACGCTCCAAGTACGCTCCTAAGACTGTCTCCGACAGGCCAGACCTAAAAACGAGAGGTATATCATGATTTGAGTAGCGCACAGCGAAGGGTCACGGACGTAAAAAATCTCCTTTGCCAACAGCCGACGCAAACGAAGCTCCCGTCGCCTCCCCTTCCTCTCTCCCTCTCCCTCTCTCTCCCGAGGTGGCGGCGCTGCGGCGGGTGCCGAACGCGGCGGCCTCCCTGCGCTGCGCGTGGCCGTGGGCCCCGGCGGCGGGCGAGCCCGGCTCGGCGTGGCGAGCTGCCTCTCTCTCTTCCCCCTCTCCGCTGGCCGTCCTCCGGCGAGGTGGCGCGCCACGGCGGTGGTGGCGCAGCGCGGGCTTTCCCCCTCTCCCTCTCTCCTGCTGTGGCCGCTCATGGTGCTCATGGTGCCCGGTGCTGTGGCCGCTCATGGTGCTCAGCGGCGGCGAAGGTGGACCCCGCGGAGCCTCCTTAGCGCCGGGCGGGCAGGAAGGGGCTGGGCGCCGTGGGGCCTCAGATCCGGCCGAGTCCGGCGCAGGTGGCTGGCATGCATGGCATAAAGCGAGCCTCAGAGCGCTGACGCGGTGGCGGCGTGGCGGCCATGCACAGCATCTGCATCTGTACACACCTCAAGGCCGCTGTGAGTCATGGGTCAAGCCTGGGAGGGGAGATGGAGGAGGAGGAGGGGGGAGGAGGAGGAGGGCGCCGACGCCTGGGCTTTCTCCGACGCGGCGGCGAGCGGGCCACCTTGGCGGTGCGGCCGGTGCGGGAGCGGGCCACCTCGGACGCGAGCGGTGCCGACGCGAGCGAGCGCGGACGATTTGCGTAGGGAGGAGAGAGGCGATGCTTTTTTTGCGTATCGTTGGCTCCGGTAGGTAAAATTGGTCACGGTTTTGGGTCAGCCGTTGGAGGGTGTTCTCGGGTAGGCAAAGCACTGTTGGGAAAGTTGACCAAAACAACAATTGTAGATCTTGATGAGTTGAACAAACTTGGTATTCAAAACTTTTCAATTTGAAGTCATTTAGAGTTCATAATACTAGAGTCAAAGTGTTGTTTTTTCATTTGACCAAATTTGACTTGGTCAAACTTGCTCAAATGAGACACTAAATGACCTCAGATGAAAAAACTTTGAATACCAAGTTTGATCATCTCAGCAAGATCTACAATTGTTACATAGCTCATTTTTTCCATTTGAAAAAGTTTTATCAAACACTAGTCATAAATTCTTGAATCTCATATAGACTTTCTGAAACTATGTCACACACTTGTGAAATTTGAACTATATTTTATTCAAACTTTCTCAAATGAAAAAATGGCCTATATAAGGATTGTATATCTTGATGAGATGAACAAATTTGGTATTCAAAACTTTTCAATTTGAGACAATCTAGGGTTCCGAAAACTAGTTTGTACACGTCGAAATTTAAAATCACAAATTTGAACCATCCAAACTATCTCAAATGGAAAGTTGACCAAAACAAAATTGTAGATCTTGATGAGTTGAACAAACTTGGTATTCAAAACTTTTCAATTTGAAGTCATTTAGAGTTCATAATACTAGAGTCAAAGTGTTGTTTTTTCATTTGACCAAATTTGACTTGGTCAAACTTGCTCAAATGAGACACTAAATGACCTCAGATAAAAAAACTCTGAATACCAAGTTTGATCATCTCAGCAAGATATACAATTGTTACATAGCTCATTTTCCCATTTGAGAAAGTTTTATGAAACACTAGTCACAAATTCTTGAATCTCATATAGACTTTCTGAAACTATGTCACACACTTGTGAAATTTGAACTACATTTTGTTCAAACTTTCTCAAATGAAAAAATAGCCTATATGAGGATTGTAGATATTGATGAGCTGAACAAACTTGGTATTCAAAACTTTTCAATTTGAGACAATCTAGGGTTCCGAAAACTAGTTTGTAAGCATCGAAATTTCAAAATCACAAATTTGAACCGTCCAAACTATCTCAAATGGAAAGTTGACCAAAACAAGAATTGTATATCTTGATGAGTTGAACAAACTTGGTATTCAAAACTTTTCAATTTGAAGTCATTTAGAGTTCATAATACTAGAGTCAAAGTGTTGTTTTTTCATTTGACCAAATTTGACTTGGTCAAACTTGCTCAAATGAGACACTAAATGACCTCAGATGAAAAAACTCTGAATACCAAGTTTGATCATCTCAGCAAGATCTACAATTTTTACATAACTCATTTTCCCATTTGAGAAAGTTTTATCAAACACTAGTCACAAATTCTTGAATCTCATATAGACTTTTCTGAAACTATGTCACACACTTGTGAAATTTGAACTACATTTTGTTCAAACTTTCTCAAATGAAAAAATAGCCTATATGAGGATTGTAGATCTTGATGAGCTGAACAAACTTGGTATTCAAAACTTTTCAATTTGAGACAATCTAGGGTTCCGAAAACTAGTTTGTAAGCATCGAAATTTAAAAATCATAAAATTGAACCGTCCAAACTATCTCAAATGGAAAGTTGACCAAAACAAGAATTGTAGATCTTGATGAGTT